AAAAAAAAAAAAAAAAAAAAAAAAAAAAAAAAAAAAAAAAAAAAAAAAAAAAAAAAAACGCAGAACTACAACACGTGTTTTTCCATATGTGCTTTTTGGCATGCATATTCATTAGGCTTGCAGGAGTTCACACATACATGATATACGTATAGTATTATAATGCGTAGGTACATACTATACGTCGAGCTAATTAGAAAAAAGAGTTTATCGCATTGTTTTTTTAACGCGTGTAATGATACGTAGGTGTATATACATATACACATACGCATACAGCACTCACGCGTTGAGTTTTCACTGTCATTAATAAGATGATTATCGGAGGCCTCGTATGGCTGTTGATACGCCGCAGCTGGTGCATGGGGGTATATGTGTTTTTCGTTCCAAGAAGCTATATATATCCCACCTCTACTCCTTTGACGCCCGTGTGGTAAAACATACAAATGCCGCGCAGGTATTTGCCCTCGTTGGATACATGTTCCTCTGCTTACACGTATATATATATATTTATGATATAGGAAGTTTTCAATTAATTTAATAAGCGACGCGGATCCCCTGTTGTATACGTAAGTACGCGCTTTAAATATTAAAACGTATCCTTGAAATGTACAAGAATATAACACGCGCGTACATAGGTGTGCGATACCCACATGTGCACCTAAATATATATAATATGTATGCGAGTGCAATAAAAGTGCATAATATGTACCTATCCAATTAAGCACATTTTAATGCAATGAAGCACCGACTCCGTACCGCGAACTGATTCGATCGAGAGGGACAGCCTAAATTTCAGGGCAACGGCAACGGACTTGCTCGATATCACCAATTATTGCTCTGGATAGTAGATGATTTTACATCGGAGCGAGGAGGCCTTTGGTAAAAGGTGTAACGCGTTGGATCAAAAGAAAAGAGAGAGAGAGAGAGAGAAAAAAAAGGGGCGAGGGAGAGAATAAAGAGAGAGAGAGAGAGAGAGACTCACATGGTATGATGAATGGCGGTACCAGCGGGGCTCGGCCTACTGCCCGGGGCGTTCGTCGTGGATGGAGGCGAGGACGGGGCCCCCGGTGCTCGCTTCGCGTGTTTCCGTCTTCGCGGCCGGTACTTGTAGTTCGGGTGCTCCTGCATGTGGATGACCCTTAGCCTCTCGGCCTCTTCGACGTACGGCCGCCTGTCCTGGGGCGTCAGTCCTCGCCACTTTTTTCCTGCAACAATCGCGCCATCACATCCTTTTTTTTCTTCTTTTTTTCAACCATCACACAAAATTTATACATATACATATACATTTTACGTTCACATCATGCTCTCGAGACATATATTTGTTGACGTGTCTTACCAAAGTTGTTTTATGGTTTTTGTTTTTTCCTGCCACGTACGTGTGGTTTGCGTGGAAAAAGAAAAAATCGAACAATCATCACTTTAAACCAAATATCATTTTTTTTTTTTTTTTCACATGCAATATATTTCAAATTATATATTATATGTACAGATAAACAGGTATATTCTAGCGATTCGAGTTAACAGTACGACGGATCTTACAAATAATGTTTGCTCGTTGTATCATTAAAATTTACCTGATGTATTCATGCCCAAATTGAAATACGGCGGCATTTAATGGTACACCGGCAATTTCCATTGAAAATTCACGTACATTGCTCAAAGCCCAAGTGCGCGCAAATTGGAATAATATATAGGTTTAAGGAAGACCCGGCCGTGCTTTCTCTCTCTCCGTATGAATAGTCGATAGTCGCTTCTTTCCCCGGTGCAAAATGTATATTAGGTATACTCAAGTACGTGTTTTCACGGTAAAGCAACGGATAATCCACTGACGCTTACACGCCCATTATACGGTTAAAGAGGAGAGTCGAGCACCGTGTACTTTTAGGATCAGAAGAGGGAAAAGCAAGGAAATATGAAAATAATGCAAATCGGTTGTATTAATATTTATGATGGCGACGTGGATGTGAGTACGCGTCTATAATTAGAAATCGGTGAGCCGGTTAGGAATGTTCTCGCGCTCGCCAGCCATAGGGTGTACAAATGAGATCGGGAGAGCCAATAAACCAAGGCGCCTTTTAGCTGCGTGTCGCGAAAAGCCACCGATTTTTCTCGACGGCTGCTTGATCGATCGTTAATCGATTCGAGCGATTATCCAATCCATCTTGTATACACAAGCGTGTGCGTATACACGGCAGTGTTTACTTGACATAGGTATACTATTTATCATGTGCATGGGTACACACCTATATATACGTATAATTTACAAACACGCATCACTCTTGCGGCTCGAGTTGGGGCGCTCAACGAAAAATCTCCATGTAGCAGCGTTGACGATCAAAGTTATTGTATCCTCGATCTTGGCAAAATAACAGCCACGATTAACGAGACTCCCCTTTCGGGTTGCATGTATCGTGAAAATTTCCACGGCGATAAATCCGGCCACAATCGACGGTAATTCAGCGCAAAAGAGCCGGCCCGATAAAATCGGCCGATCGCGCGTCTAATGTAACGTACTTTCATCAACGTGCGCGCTCCGTGAGCTAATCTCTCCCTCTCGTCAACGCACTCCTCGAACGAGGAAATTAAAAAAAAATTTTCGCGATGGGTTGCGTATACTTACACGAGATACAATACCTATACGTCTAACTCAATCGGACGAGCACACTCCTCGCTACGGGTCAACTTATGTAAAAGCTCGCACAAGTACACGGCATCAGTGTACGCACATGGCAAGCTGCACGGAGAAAGTGTAAGAGCATATATTACACGAGAGGCGAATGAAGGTTGGGATCTAGAGACTGTAGTGTACAATACAAGGAGAGAACAACGAGAGTCCAAGGGACAATACGCATGTATGCACCATAGAAAGAGAGACGTCATGGGTGACTCTATTGTGCGTATGTATGTTTTATTTACGTGATTACAAGTTCATAACAACAACCGAGCCCTTTTTGCCTCGGCAAACGATACGTATACGTATGCATATACATAATATACAGGTAATGAAATAACAACACTTTAACGCGCTATCATCAGCCGCGAGGAAGGGCGCATCTAATGCAACGTAAACACGAATTAATGCCCGTGTGTACGTATAAGACGCATGAATTATAAACGTATAAAGAACGGGGTGTTGGGGGGGTACACGGTGCTGGTATATATACCTACGAGGGAGGATGACGCGAAAAAAAAAAGGAAAAAAAGCGCCACGGAGGGAATATAATATAAGATGCACACGCACGCTCGTCGGAGACGTCAACGCGCGCTTGCATGTGCGTGCCAGAGTTTATGGTATTATATACGCGTATATGTGTATATATTGTGTACATGTAAGAGAAAAGAGAGAGAGAGAGAGAGAGATGCTGTGCGGGGGCGTAGATATGGGTGCGCCCGCGTTATTCTCTATACACGTGGCGCGGAGTGGGCCCCGGACTATTATTTCATATTTCATTTTGTGCGGTTGAAACGCTATTGCAACGGGGCCCCTCTGCTTAGAGGCCTCTTCCTTCTCTTGTTCTCTCTCTTTTTTTTATACGTTCGAAGGAGGAGGCGCGTCGAGAGGTGGAGTAGGAAAAGAAAAAAAAAAAAAATTCGAGCGAAACACTCGAGATTAAGCGAGAGAGAGAGAGAGAGAAAGAAGAGAAATCGACCCGAGGGCAGTCTCTGCAAGTATATATATACGTATCGCGAGCCGAAGCGCAGAGAGGGATAAGGAAAGAGAAAGGAAGTGAGAGAGAGGAGGGAGGCATCCCGAGCGCGTGCCTCTGATCGATGGAGATTTTTAAGAGCCCCGGCTTTATTATGCCTCTCCTCGCGTCCCTCGATCAAATTGATTGAGCTTCTAGAAGCACAGCTCGGCTTTTAAGGATACACTCACATCCCCAGAGAGAGAGAGAGAGCGCGTATCAACATCGCGGTACTTAAATAGGCGTGTGTTCGTCGTATGTCAAAAGTACCTACACACGCGTCACCCGGCTACACATATCTAATTTGATTGGAAAATTGAACGGGTGTACTATTCGTTTTCAATTTAGTCAAAAAGTGATGCACACCACCCCTCGTAAAAATATTAAATCGACAGCAACCGCGTCCCGGTGGGTCGAGTACCGCGACACCGAAAAACAAGAGCAGATTAATGAAGACATCAGCAGGTATGTAAGGGTGGTGATGCAAACGTCAGCGCCGTCGGCTAAATTAAAAGGACGCGCGCGCTCGGCCATTAGAATATGGTTAACGAGGAGGGGCATAAGCGCGTGTGTCTGTGGTAACGAATCACCGCTGTGTCGAGTACACGAACATTGTACTCGGGTTGGGAAGATTTTTACGCGCCTCGCCTCTTGAGTTCCTCTCCATTTCTTGGGTCGAAGAGGGTCGAAGTGAAGAAGCGACTTTGTGGGTGCGTTGCGCCGAAAAAGGAATACAACTCGTTTGACGGGGAGGGAGACTTTGAGAGCGAGTTTTTTGTTTTTTCAAGACGGAATGAAAAAAAAAAAAAAAAAAAAATGCACTCAACACTTACCGATGCCTACATGGAGGTTTGGACCACATATGGTGGTTTGGTACACGTAAAAAGATTTTTTTTTCCAACGTATCGATTGGCGATTAGTTTGCAGACCAAGGACTCGACTCGTGGCAAGTGCTTTGTAACATTTACCGAAGAGAGCACACGACACTGTAAAAGAGGGGTTTTCATGATTCAAGTGCGCACGTGGAACAACGACGCGTTACTTTAGTTAATAGATTAATATCTTTTTTCTCTCTCCGACGAACAAGGGCATTTACTTTTGTTCGCTTCAAAATTTTCACAAAAATATCACGTGATTACTCTGTACCTTTTTTGCAGCCTATATACTCTGATTATCAATAACTATTTACACATTGTTCCACCAGTAGTAACTATGTTTTATTTGAGACGATGGATCATGTATTTATTGTTACCTCTTTTCTATTACGTAATTTGCTGTGTTATCATTTCGCGCTTATTTGTCATTGGTACTTTGTAAAGTTATTCTTGAATGTGCTCATAACTTATAACGCGACTTGATTACTCGCTAAAATACTATCTCTAAGAAAGAAAAAGAAAATTTCTCGTAATTAAGAGAATCTTTGGAAACTCCATCCGACTGTTGGCGAATCAGTGGAGAGTTTACTCGTCGAGAAAGGAAAAAAGGAAAAAGCAATTTCGATCGCCCCTATCGTGTCCCGAGAGCCACTAGGTACCTTCTGATAATCGCACAAAAAAGAAAAAAAAAAAAAAAACGAACGAGTGCAGGGGGCACACACAGATCTCCCGGCGTCCCGCAACAAATAACTTGTAGCGCGAGTTGTCGCGCACGTTTTCCTCCCGCTCTTTCCAATTCATCCTCCTCCTCCTGGGGGGTTCGTTTGCCAGAGAGACAGATAGAGAAACCCAAGGGGACGTACATACACACATACATACATATATATATATATATTTATACACGTGCACAAGCAGCAGCAGCAGCAGCAGCAGCAGCAGCGGAGAAGCCAAAGAGAGCGATCAGACGGGCAAGATCGACGGCTCGCTCGCGCTAAGCGTCTCTCTTTCTCTGTGTGGTTTATTGTGTGCCCTGCTCTTTTCCTCGAATTAATTAAATTAACGATTCTACGAACGACGTATCGGCGTAATTGACGAGAGAGGGAAAAAGCAAAGAAAAGAGCAGCGGTGCAGTAGGTATATGTATGCACGTGTACATAACTCCCGCGGGCGCCTCCGACGCCGGCACACACGGGACATTTATTTATTTATCCCCCGGTACGAGAGGCAGCGGCGCTCCCTTGAACGTCCCGACGCTGTCACCCTCCCGTACCGCTTTTTAATCGGCCCCGCGCTTTTCGACGGAAACACGCTGCTACACTCGCGAATCTCAGCTCGAGATCCCCGAGAGATAACCCGTGGAAGGCCCCGGGGGAAACGAAGCTCCCTCTCGATCTTCCCCTCCTCCCCCTACCAGTGGCTCATGCACTGCATCGGAGAGATTTCCATCTCTAGCGTGTGACAATTGAAACGCGCGCGCGTGTGCATATACGTACGACGTGCAAACGTACAATGTGCGGACACAACCGAAGGGGAGCACTTGTACGTTTTACGAGCTTAATTGATTGTATATATACATATATACGTTTTTAATTGAACGCCATGTGTATACCTCACTGCCGGATATTGCTTTTTGTTCAGCTATAC